GAGTCGCTGATTAATACGATGTGGTATTTTGAATTATTGTTGCTGTTTGCACTGCAAACGCATTCACAGCTATCACTCTATTTACTGCCTTACAGATTGAATACAATATATTAATTAAATTTTCATATAAATATACCGTTAAGGGCTTACAGTAAATTGCATAGTCCTTTCTCTGTTTTTAAAAGTCACCCCTACACTAAGATTTTCTCCTGTATCGTGGAGGCGGTTTAAGTACAGAAATTATACAAGGACAAACATCCAGACCCGGAACAAGTATTGTATATGGCTTATAAATAATTATTGTGCGAGAGGAACCCGCGGCTCTTAGTGTATTTACGGTAAACTAATGCGCCACGGAGTTGTCAAGCAAGTGCGCAAGCAACCCTAGTTCAGTTTTCACCTACACTTTTACTATATTTTTTCATTTTTTTCAGCTTAACCACGGAAGAACTACTTTCTCACAGAATACCAGCATAAAATAGCTGCTTAATCCTGCTGCGGCGTGTGTAGAGAGCCGAAGATCCTTTATAGTGGATACGAGGCATTCCAGCTTGGTTCTCAGGGGCGACAATGCATTCTGCATTTTGCATTTTAATTGAGGATATTTATCGTTGTCTATGGGCCATGGCATCCACTTACCATCACGTGGACTGGGTACTCGGTTGTCATTCTTGTTCTATAAAATAAAAAAGTCATCATCGTTTGTAAGTAATGTTCTGTACACAATACGATAGGAATCGAAGAACAAAAAATCTTACTCAATAATAATATACTACTACAGCTAACACTTAATTAACTGCACGCTTTGAAGTGAGTCCAGTCCAGTCTCTGAGTCCCATTCATTGTTTAGCAGTAGTAGAATATTAATCCATTAACGAATAGTACAATTTAAGCCCTATAAATTTTTCATGGACACTCATCATCAGTGCTACAGATAGGTCTCCGCAATTACCAACCTGCCTGTCCAGCGTGATTTATGGCCAATTTTTTTTAATTTCAAAAGGACCTATATTCCGCAGTGAATTAAGAGAAGCAGTGGGAATAAGAACACAAACATAATAAAAATATGACAATGTATAATTTAAATATATTATGTATGAACGTCATGGTTGGTAATTTAAAACCGATTAATTAGTTGTTCGATAAATAAAACCAATTTTACGCATTTTATTGCGTTTAATTTCAAATTTTTTAATTTCTAACAGTCACCGGAGAGACGTCAGTAATGTTCAATAAAACCGAAAAAAGTTTTATTTAGTATTCAAAATCAATAAAAATCCTAAAGAATAATAAGACAGTTATAAATATACTGGATTTAAAAACTGATCAGTAAGCTGACGTGGCAATGGGTCGGCCATCACAGCTTGAAGGACCGACAACCAATGGGGAAGAAAAGTTCTCGAGCGGCAGTTTCGTATCGGTAAGTAAACTGTATACGAGCTCACTAGATGAAGTAAAGAATTGGAAGATGTGCAATAAATTAATGGATGTAGGTGGCTCAGAGCCAGAGTGTTTACTGTTGATTCTGATTAATGCAGCTATATTAATAGTATAGTTGTAGCACTAATGGGTTGGTTTGACCGGGGAAGGACCACGCTCTCACAGTATACCAGCGTAAAATAGCAGCTCAACACTGCTGTGTTTCGTATGGTGAGTGTAGAGAACCGGAGACCCATTTTACTGGAAAAGAGGCATTCCATCTTAGTACTCACGGGTGACAAGGCATCTGCATTTTGATTCGCAAACGAAGATAGATGTAGATGTCTATGGGCCACAGCAACCATTTACCATCAGGTGGACAGCGTGCTCGTTTGTCACCCTTATTCTATTAAAAAAAAACCTATTTTCAGCTGTGAACTTTGAGGCAATGATGGTGATCATAATATTGGTGACATTATTGTTAAACACTTATTTAAAATCATGTTTACTTTCTCGTGTAACTATACGTCCTTAGTGAATACATGAATTTCAAAATTCGAATAAAAAACTTTTTTGTAACTAACCAAGAACAAAGTACAAAGTACATAAAACACAGATCCTTAGCCGGAGGCAGATTAAAGAAATAGAATAAAAAGAGGTTGATTGAAAACTGAGCGAATAGTGAGGGTAGCCGACTTTTCAAATCTTGTAAGGTCTCTTTAAAAATGTATAACAATGGATATATTTATAACTGTAGGTACTTTGTTGCAATCTATGGGAATGGGTGATTGTTCAGCATTGTGTATGTATGACTTGTTATGGGCTATAGTGTGTGTTTGTGTAGTATGTGTATTAATGCTGCTGTGTTTTGTATGGTGAGAATCGGAGACCCATTTTTACTGGAAACGAGGGATTTCATCTTAGTGTATTTCATCTGCATTTAGATTCTTAATTGACGATAAATGTAGATTTTTATGGGCCCCAGTATGCACTCGCCATCAGGTGGACTGTGTGCTTGTTCGTCACCCTTATTGAAAAAAGAACAGCCCGACTGGATTTGACGGTTAGGTAGGACAACACTGGACGGTCACAGACAGATAAAAAATAAGAATATTTTTATGAGTCTAATTCGATTATTTTCAAGTAAAAAACGCGTTAAAAACGTGAGCCTTGGTAGCTAAGACGGTTGGCGCTCGTGGTAAATTTCACAGTACGCGACCAACCCTGGTTCGATCCCGCCGGCACCAATGAAATTGTTAATTGCAATTTTAAGTGCTGATTCACCACGTGCTCGGCGGTGAAGGATAACATCGTGAGGAAACCTGCATGTCTGAGAAGTAAGAAATAAATATTTCGAAGACTTGTGAAGTCCGCCAACACGCATTGGGGCAGCGCGGAAGACACTTCCTTGCCCTAAAACCCTCCTGCAATGAGAGGAGGCCTGTGCCCAGCAGTGGGACGTATATAGGCTGTAAATTTAACTTTAACTTTTAAAAAACGCGTGGCGCAATGAACAGCGTTTATATTTTCAAAGGTATCCAGTCTGTTGGATGCAGCTATATTTTTTCGGTTCCGTAGTTGACGTCAACGATATTCTCAGAACGATGTTCTAATGAATATTAATAAAATAATAAAATCCTCTTCCCCGACAAAGAAACTTGGCTCGAAAATAATTTAAATATATATTTAAGGAGGGCATTAACATAAATGAATGTTAAAATCTATGTTATATAAAGTTAAATACAATATCCGACAGAATGAAACGAATGCATTAACTCCGCAGGGAGCTGGAGCCATCTTCCGCTCCGGTTTCACGACAATTGCGAATATTTGAACAAAGCTCTTTTGTCGCATCTCTCTTCCCATCTCTTTCCCTCATTCATCCTTTATAAGACATTAAACCTATTGCGCGGATAATATCGAAAGATTTTTACGAGTATTTGCTAGAGACGCGTACTATGTGTTTCTCGTTGTCGAGAAACGATAAATTTATTGGTAGGGGATTGGTTTTTATCTTTGTTGACATTTCATAAATGTAGATGTCGCTAAAAACCATAATATCACATTTAAATTTTAATATACTTTTTATTATAGTTTTTAATATTGTATATAATAAAATATAAAATATTGTATATTATGTTATATAAATAAATGTTTAAGTTTATTATTATTATAATAAAATCTTAAAGATTGATAATAATATAAAGATTGATAATAAACATGGTAGGTATAGCCATGTTGCAGATAATATGGTTTTAGCACGAATGAGAGCTGGACCACGGTCTTACAGAATATCATTGCAAAGTAGCAGCGTAGCTGCTGTGCTTCGTGTGGTGAGAGTAGAGAACCGGAGACCCCTTTAACTGGAATCAAGGCATTCCATCTTAGTTCTGAGGGATGACAAGGTATATATTATATCGGTAAGCACAGATATGATAAAATAATACTGAACTAAATTTGTAATTGTAATTTAATCATATTATTTTGAATATACCTATTGAATATAAAACTAAAAAAAAAAAATAATAACTTTATTTAATGTGACTTCCTTAATATAAACCCTAATTTTAAAAAGTAACAAAGTCACCAATAAAATACAAAACATGTGACATTATCAAACGAGTTTTAAGTGAAAATCGTTGGTACGAGTACGTTACAGTCTCGAATCCATCTTTCTACTTTATGAGTCGCACAGAATTGAAATGTTGATTTTAGGCGAATCATAAGAAAACTATGAGACGTTTTGTCATATTGCCCTTGTATGTTTTGAGATTATTATTTCCCTTTATTTATTTATTTATTTAAACTTTATTGAACCTTACAACAGTATATGATCAAAAGGGGGACCTATGCTAAAAGAATTCTCTACCAGTGAACCTTAGGGTAGTGATAAAACTACGAAGGCGATTACAAAGAATATAAAATAACTTTACAAAATGTGTAATTACCCGTTTTAGAAATGTTTGCCCATGTTATAGTTTTAAAACATAAATATTATTATTGCGTATTGAATGTAAATATCACGGTGGCTAGAAATTTAATTACTTAATTGGTTAATAAAATAAATTCGTTGCTGATCAGTTTGTGTTCAGGTGATCAATTACCCTTACGTCATGCGGCGTAAGAGGCGACCACGTGTAAAACCTGTAAAGCTTCTCATATAGTGTGGCCTTTCTGGCCCGAAAAGTTGATCTGGCATATGGTTTCGCTGCCAACCAAGTTTCAGCTGGGGAGGGTAGGGAGAAGTTAAAATGCCTCGCAATACCCACACTTCAATTCGATTGACCTTTCATATAATGAGATTGAGTACCTAATATAAAATTATTATAAGATATTTAGGAAAAATCAGAATTTTCTGATTATATTTGGAAGGAATTTTTTTCCGGTTAGCACCTCTCTTACCTATTTATGACGAAAAGCAGCACTACATCCACTGCCGCGTCTCGGTCTATAGGGTATAGAGTATAATAACAGTAGAGAGTCGTTCTTAATCAACAAAGGTGACACATCTGCAGGCATCATTATTTGAATTCATAGACTGTGGTAGCCACTTACCACCATTTTCACTGTAAGATCGTTTGTCACCTCAATTTTATTAAAGTAGTAGGTAACAAACGCAGATGATGATAACTACAGTCCATGATCACCTGCAGAAGTATAGTTGTAGCACGAATGGGTCGGCTCGACCGGGGAAGGACCACGTTCTCACAGAATACCAGCTTAAAATAGCAGCTTAATGCTACTGTGTTTCGTATGGTGAGTGTAGAGAACCGGAGACCCTTTTTACTGATAAAGAGGCATTCCATCTTAGTCCTCACGAGTGACAACGCATCTGCATTTTGATTCACAAACGAGGATAAATGTAGATGTCTATGGGCCACAGCAACCACTTACCATCAGGTGGACTGTGTGCTCGTTTGTCACCCTATCCTATAAAAAAAAAGGAAGGCATAATTTGCTGGTATTTATTCACACCGGCTGGCTTAGTCTTTAAATTTTTTATAGTTACTAGTAGTATATATGGCCTAATAAAGTCGTTCAGAACAAATTTCGGTCACGTTAGCTTCTCTCAATGGAGGACAGGAGAGTTGCGGAATATGAGTACTTTATAATTGCAGACTATGTAGAGGGTTTTATGGCAAAATGAATATCGCGCTGCCCCAATACGTGTAGGTTGACTTCACATTCTGTCTTGGAAATATTATACTCTCTTACTTTTATTAAAAAAAAAAACTGTATATTGTAATATTTATGAAAAAATGTGAATCTCCTTAACAGTTGATCCTCCATTAAGATACAAAGTGATTTAAAAAAAAACGTTATCTCTACACTAAGATTTTCTGCTGTATCGTGGAGGTAGTTTAGTAGTGGTAGAGCCATGCTGCAGCTATATAAGTAATATAGTTGTAGCACGAATGGGTCGACTCGACCGGGGAAGGACCACGCTCTCACACTGTTTACTGGAAAAGGGGCATTCCATCTTAGTCCTCACGGGTGACAACGCGTCTGTATTTTGAATCGTAAACGAGGATAAATGTAGATGTCTATGGACCACAGCAACCACTTATAATCAGGTGGACTGTGTGCTCGTTTATCACCCTATCCTATAAAAAAATACATAAATGTCAATAAATCAAAACAAATATTTGTGGGCTATCCAAATACTTGTTCCTTGCGGGATTCGGACCAGCGGCCCGCAGCAACGCAACTCATTACTAAGCCACTGCACCACACAGTTGTCCTTTACCTTCGTTCATACCTTAATATTTTTTGTGTAAAATCTATTAGCAATTATTTCAGCTATGAGCTGCAAATAATAAAATAGAAAATGCGCACAGCGCATTCGAAAAGCTGCAAGCGCTGTCCTTCCCGCGAATAAACCTTAAATTGGTTACTCGGTAGAGCGAATTTTGAAAGCCCATAAATATGTCAACCGTCAAACTAAGCCGCGTATCGAGCGCACCAGGCCCAAGTAAATTATGAACTAGCTGCCCGTTTCTGGTCTGCACTCGGCTAGCCCAGCCAGCCGCCGTGCTTACGTGAAGACAATAATATTAATAAATCAACTAGCAGTCAAAAATTCAGGCTTCTTTCCATTTAAAAGTTAATTATTAAATTATTAAATGTAGCACTATTTTCAAGCGTCTATTAAATAAATTAAATATTATATGCTCTTACATAAAACCACAATCTTAATAGTTATAAACACTCACGCCTGTCACCCAGAGGGGTAGGGCGGAGACTACGGACTTGCATTTAGCACGATCTTTACACGTATACATGCTCGTCGGTTAAGGATGCTCTTCATCAGACCAATTTTCAATATATCGCTAATTTGGTCTATAAACTTTCGTCGGACATCCTTGCCCGTTCACATCTACAGCATAAATTTCCGTTTTCATTTTTTCTTCGTTCGTTCTCCAGAACAACTCGAATTAGATTCCTACCGACACCAATGAAATTTACATCGAATTTACAAGTGCGAAAATTTCCAGGGCATGTTAAGAACGCTAACAGATACTGGAGCAGCAAGGCGGAATAGCTGCTCCACAATTCATTTCAATTTTTCAATGTGGTAAAGCCATGCTGCAGCTATACTACGGTTGTATCACGAATGGTTCGGCTCGACCGGGGAAGGATCTCATTCTCACAGAATACTAAAATCACCAGCTTATTAGATGACGTAAGTATACGCAGCGTAAGCAGCGTAAAATAGCAGGTCCATGCTGCTGTGTTTTGTAGGGAGAGTGAAGATACCCTTTTTACTATTTTTCATTTCATTTCATCTTAGTCCTCAGGCGTGTCGTGTGTCAGTCAACGCATATGCATTTTTAAATCAGTTAAATGTAGATCTGTATCGGCCACACTATCCACTTACCATCAGGTGGACTTTGTGCTCGTTTGTCACTTTTATATTATAAAAAAAAATCTTAGAAATTGAAAAAAACCTGAGTTCAGCTATGGGACCTATTTATGTTTTATGTAACTTTACTTTTTTATGTTCCCGTGTAGTGACGTAGTGACAGTGTAAGAATATTCATTACCATATATCATCCTGTGAGTTATGTAAGAGGTGACAGAGGGAAACAAATCAGAGGCAGCAGCGTCTTGCTAATAACGACTAAAAATAAAAAAATAAACTTCAGTTCCCAACCCGCTCGTCAAGCGTGGCAACTATGGCAAATGTCCCCCCTATGAGTCAATCTACGAGGAAGTCCTATATTCAGCAGTCGACTTTAATAAGCTGTAACGGTAACTTATTTATGTTCAATATCGTCGCAGTGGTATGAAATTATTTAAAGGTAAACCGGGCCTTAAACAAAAGTTCATAAAATATAATTCCAAGTTATCTTCGTCGGAAGCAGAATTCAGAAACGTCACTAAGAAGTAAAGACTGGCACGTCCCGCTAGCAAGTACTGACTTAAACACGCGCCTCAAACAACCTAACTCAGTGTCACAGATTAAGGAAACTACAGAATGTGATTATTTATATGCTTCTTTTCGAGAATATTTGTAGCAGTCCACTGCTGAATATGCGCCTCTCCCATGGTAGGGATATTTGCTTTGACAACCAAGGGCGTATTGGTTATCACAGTTCCATACATCACACACCATTGACACTGCGTCTGAAAATTGTATATCTAGTCTATTTTCGAGGATAAATGTAGATGTTTATGAGCCGCAGCAACTACTTACCATCAGGTGAACTGTGTGCTCGTTTGTCACACTTATCCTATAAAAACAAATTAGTCGCTAAATATTTCCTGTGGCGCAGTGACTCAGAATTGGATCTTGGCCTATGAGACGCAAACGCGCCACTTCTCCCTGTCCTGCGCAAGCTATCGCTACTTGTCATCAGCAGTCATTATAGACTTGGTAGAGCCATGCTGCAGCTATATTATAGTTGTAGTACGAATGGGTCGGCTCGACCGGGGAAGGACCACGCTCTCACAGAAAACCAGCGTAAAATAGCAGCTTAACGCTGCTGTGTTTCGTATGGTGAGTGTAGAGAACCGGAGACCCTTTTTACTGCCAAAGAGGCATTCCATCTTAGTCCTCACGGGTGACAACGCATCTGCATCTTGAGTCTTTATTGAGGATAGATGTAGATGTCTATGGGTCACAGTAACCACTTACCATCAGGTGGACTGTGTGCTCGTTTGTCACCCGATCCTATAAAAAAAAAACATAAAGCACGCGTCGTTTAGTTTAGTTTTAGTTCACGACCCAAATATGCTCTCTTTATACTACGATCTTTTCCCATCAGTTCAACATTACCTATCCACTGGAAGAGCTGTGCATTTAATTGTCGAAAGTTGATTCCATGAGTTTTTCTATTTTTTACGGACCCTACAACTACTATCTTCCCTGCGAACTGGGCCAAACATCTGTCTCAGAACCTTCCTCTCGGCTATTAAGAGGTTACTCTCTTTGTGAGTATAAATATTAAATGCAAGGTTGTTACACCACAAATTAATGGAGGCTTCAAGATTCTCAAACAAAAGTTCCGCTGGGTTTCTTGTCGGTTCTTTCCGAAACAGAGGGTTTTTCCGAACCAGTGATAAAGCTTTAATGACTTTCAATAAGAATTCTTGTAGTCTATATTGAATAAAAATTAATCTATTCTAGTATATTCTCTACCCCTTCCCCAAGTAACCTCTCGCGATGCGTACGGGATGTTGGGGGATTCCAAAGGCTTCTTTAATGCTAATGTTAAATGAAGCTGAGAACAATATAACGTAGTATAGTTTAAAATTAAAAATTTTGTACAACTGATTTCAATATAAATTGTTAAAAATGACTCAAAAACTATTAGTTAGACCTTGATCAAATTTATACGGAACTACAAGTAAAGCACCAGCATTCAAATAAAAAATGAATCCTCGAAATCGATTCACCAAGTAAAAAATTATGAGGTAACACACACAAAAAAAAACATACAGTCGAATTGAGTACCATCTCCTTTTTGAAGTCGGTAGAAAATAAAAGTTAAATTGTGTTTAAAATATGTATTATTTGGGCACAATTTGTTTTACATTAGTTTTGTAGGATGGTTATAATAATTTATGTGAATGACCATATTTTGTACCAAAATAAAGAACTTTAGAAGTAAAATAAGTAAAAATATAAAAGGTTACATCCGTAAAGTTAGTTTTATTATACGTTAATAGAAGTCATCATTAAAATACGACAGTCAGCGTAACACTATACTAATCCATCTAATTATACCGAAATACTTACGTAATTTTTTTTAATAATAAGGGTGTCAAGCTAACAGACATTCCACTCGGTGGTAAGTAGATACTGTGGCCATAGATATTTACATCAATCCACTATTACGAATCAAAATGCAGATGCGTTGTCACCCCTAACGACTGAGATGGAATGCCAGTAAAAAGGGTCTTTTGTACACATATTACATGATAAAACTTTATCAGATAATGTATGCAAACATTACATCAAACCGTCAAAATAACACCTATTACCATTAATTTTATACGTAACGACATACACAATTAACTCCCGGAGACGGTACACATATAGGCATATTATAAAAAACGCAAAATTTATATTTCCATTGCATAATCAGTGCGAGCCTACACCACGTAATTTCCTTACCTGCTTCTCATTAATTGTGGTCACGTGCAGCTCTCGGTTGTCCGTGTTCCCGTGTTCCGGACATAGTAATGTTTAGGGTTTTGTTATGTTCAATTTTGTCAGCGTCAACTGTGATATAAATAGATCTCTATAAAGCAGGTCTTTTGTAGAAATTAGTAATTGGTTATATTTACTATTATAAAAACAATTTGTTTCTTATCCCATTGCTAGAATCGCTAAACTAATAAATAACAATGGAATTCGTGGTCGC